TGCATCAATAAATCCATATAATAAATGTTTGTAATAATTTAGCTAAAGGATAGTTGTTTTTTTTTTAATTTTAATTAATCCTTTAATGCCCTTTACATAAAAAAAATACAATAATTAAATTTAAAATTACAGGTTTTCGTTGGTACATTGGTCCATAATCTTTCTGGTTTAAATTGAAATTAGAGAACTAGTTAGATTCATGCTGTTCTAACATACTGGTGAAGTATGTAGAGTCAATGGATAAGGTTATTGTTAGATCATAAATATGAAATAATGTAACGGTCCGCATACTTGGGTTTGCAATGTGCACGCAAAAGCTCGCAGAAAAGATTCTGTGCATAATGTTGGGTTTGCCCAAACAATCAAGCTTGCCCCATTCTTTGAAGGAAGAAGCATATCTCATTTAATTTAAGACAATCACTTAAATTAAAATGATAATTTAGATATTAGTTGAATTTGAATTCCTTAGATAAGATAAGGTCTTTCATAGGATTTCATTTCAATCTCAATCATTTATCTAATTTAATTTAGGCCATTGGATCTAGGGAAACTTAACTATAAATAGGAGTCTCCCTCATTTGTAATCAATCATTCATTCTTTCAGGTTAATACAACTCAGACATTTACTCTAATTTTTTCTCTTGTTGCTTTACTCTTTTATTTCTTAGCTTTATAGCTTTGATTCTCTAAATTTGTTCTTAAACATTCTTGTTTTGTTATGTCTTGGCGGCTTGGATAGGCCCGATATTGTTTACACTTACATAATATTGTCCAACCTTGGTGACTTTTATGAGCTCGTTGGTTATTGCTCCGCACCTTTGATTAACCTGAGGGGTTGGTTGTTGCTTAGTGAAATTAATTCTCACACGAAGGACGTGGTTAAGACTTATTTAAGCGCTAATTCAACTGAAAAATCATTTAAAGTCGCACGAATTAACTAGTCGAAACTCTAATCCCTTGACAATAAGAATAAATATATTAATTGTCAAATATTATCGATTCAGTATGATGCATGATCATTTCTTACACCAACAATCAATAAGAAACAAACTTGTATACCAAGCATAGGACCATGGAGTATTATCTCTAGGGATGATAATTTAATCTAAAATTGATAGATTTCAGATTTTGACCTGTTTCGATTGCGCCAGATTTTTTTAAAAAGAAAATTTGGGTTGTGGTCAGGCCAGTTCAAGTGGAGAGTAAAAAACTTCGACCTTGAGGATAATAATGTAATTTCTTTTTAAAAAATTAATCAAGTCTTTATTTTATACCAGATCAGGTCGAGTTGAGTTAGATTTATACTCTAAAAATTTGGATCGGGTCAAAATCGAGTGGAATATATATTTCATGGTCAAGTTCGAGTGGAAGATATACAATTTAGGGGTTGAGTCGAGTTCGAGCATAGAATACATATTTTTTTGATCGAATTAGGTTGACCAAAAACTTGACCCAACCCAATCGTTTGTCATCCCTAATTATCTCTCCTTTCTAAGCTAAAAAGCTGCTTATTTTCCCATGTGCTATTTAATACTAATAATCCCCAAAGTCAATTCTATACAGAATACCGAAGGGTTGTGTTTTTATTTTGTATGCTACAAGTAGACCATGTAAGTCCAAAGTAGTTGTCAATGCATTACTTGTAAGGGTTAAAATATGGAGGGCCTGGCTGCCGTCAGATCTCTATGCTACAAGAACTGCAGATGGAGTTTTTCTAGGTGGTTATAAGAAGTATTTATATCCCAGGGTGCAGGTAACTTTTACCTTTTTCATTTAAATTCACTTGAGAAATTAAATTTTATTATGTCAATAGTATTCAAAACCTTTTGTTAAGGGATTTTTAGATTGTTATGTCAGAACTCCAATAACCAGAAAGTTATTGCTTTGGGTGACGTGTGTTATTCTAGTCTCAACATTTGTCTTATGACCCACAAGAGTATCTTAGGAGCGTCTCAGCTAAGTGGAGCATAATTCGTAGATTGTGTACTTATTATGGTTTACCTCATATGTCGAGCAATTGCGTGGTTCACACTGTTGATTTGAACAGGGAATCATAGAATATAGGGTAAATCACACATTTAATACTTAAACTATTAATTTTGATATGTTTTAGTAAACATTTAATTTTGTTCAAAATCATATCTAACGTTTAGTTTTAATTTCATTTAGTACTCATCGTTAAAAACTTAACGCGTTTAATATCTAAAATATCAATTTTGGTCGTTTTCGTACCTAAACTTTTAAAAAAAATTCAAAACTTAACATTAAATTTTTAACAGGGATAAAATTTACAAAAAACTAAACTTCAAGTATGATTTTGGTATTTTTTAAAAGTTCAAGTACTAAAACTGATAGTTTAGACATTAAACGCATAATTTACCCCAAAATATAACCCAAATTATAGATGAGTGTCAGCTAGGTGTACAGTATATGATGGAAAAATAGTAGCAAGGGATGACCTTCCATGTCGTAATCAATCCATACATGATAAGTAATTGCATAAATAACTGCTGTTCAGGTTTCTGCCTACTAGGAATAACAGAAGAGGGAGGTGGAGGGAAACTCGTGAATATGTAAGGGCAATGATCCGGTCTAACAGCAAGAGAGGAGAAAACTCTAGTCTACTTTGCCTTCTGATGTCTGATATAAGAATCGGGATGACAAAGAAGAGATGTTAGGTGAGGAAGAGATAATAAACGAGTGCAAGACCTTTTACTTTGCAGGAAATGAAACGACCGCTATTGCTTTATCATGCATTTGACAGATTTGAAGACTAAGTTTTTATCCTCTGGTAACCTTCAACTTTAATGTTTAAACTAAAAAAAGATAAGATTGAGTAAATGATTTTTATGAACAGGTGAGCATGGGAAGCATGCAAGGGTGTTAAGCTAGAAAAGCTCAGTAATGTTCCTGCACCAGCTTTAGTTTGCCAGTGACGGATCCAAATTTTTTTAAAAAAATCCAAAATAAATAATATCATATTCACTAAGAAAAAAGTTACATTATCCAATATAACAATCCATTCAAAAGCATAAAAAATTACTAATACTAAATAATTACAATTGTTCTTGACGACTTTTCATTCCTTGAAATTGTTTCATAATTTCTTCGTCATCAATTTAGAGAAAAACATTTCTTTCTATATAAGTAACCAGCCAATCATTTAGAAATTGATCACCGATATTATTTTGTAACTTATTCTTCACGATGTTTATTTTAGAAAATGTTCTTTCCACACTTGCAGTTGCTACGAGGAGAATCAACACCAATTTTATTAGCAAATAGACTTGTTGGTCAAACTCAAGAAACCGATATGAGATCGAAATATGTTGCACATGATGATAGTAAAAGATTTTCATCAAGGGAGATGGAGAGTCAAGTTGATGCTAGTTTTATGCCATACGATCCAACTAAAAGAAAAAAAATTGTTGACTACATCCAATGGATCGAAAATCGGTGAGGAAAGAACACAAACAAAGAGGTGTTTGTTAACCAAAGAAGCACAAATTTCCTCAAGGGGAGGTATATTTCGCCGCCTTAATAAATATTGGCTTAAGAAGTATTCATGGCTTGAGTATAATGTTTCAAAAGATGATGCATTTTGCTTTGTTTGTTACTTGTTTAAGAATAAAACTACTAAAGTTGGAGGAGGAGATGCCTTTTTTGTTAATGGGTTTAGAGGTTGAAATAAGTCGGCTCAATTTAAAATCCATATTGGTAGAATTAATAGTGTCCATAATCAAACTTTTCAAAAGTTTGAGAATTTAAAGAATTTTAAGTCATCATTTAAAGTTTCTTTAAATAAAATAAACTAAGTAAGTTAAAAGTGACAACCGAATTTATTTGACTACTTCTTTTTATTATTTGAAAACTTTTTAAGCTCTTGCATAAATTGACTTAGATAATTCACAGCAACAATGATATCTGATTGTGTATGAGTTAAGTAGATTAACATGTCGACGAGTGTATGAAAAAACTTTTGTTATTTTAATTAATATTTTAAATATTGAATAAAAAATTAAGTTTAACTTATCATTTATCTAGCACGAGGTCCGAGAAATATATATTCTAAGAAAGCTTCCTCTCACGTCATATGTATGGATTTAAGTCAAAACTTTTTAAATGGGTGTGTAGATTTTTTTTCTTCTATCAAATAATACACTACACTCGGTAGTTTTCTAAGAAAAATGGGTATGCAACTGCTACCTAATTAGCTTTACGGATCCACCCCTGCCATTCATCATGACACTGATATATGGGTAGAAGATGATAACAGATTCAACCCCTCAAGATCCAAAGAACCGTGAAAGCATTTGTCTTCCTTTTTTCCATTGGGTTTATGGCCTATAATTCGTGTAGCTCAAAATTTAAGATATTAAAATATTTTTAAAAATAGACACGTAAATGTTAATAATAAATCTTTTTTTATATAATAGAAACAAATAAATTTTTATAGTGGACACCAATAATAAAATAAATAATTAATATAAAGAAAATTAGATTTCAAAGTAATTACATATCCACTTTGAACAAGACTCGTCCACCACTAGCATGGCCAATGTATGTTCATGCCCCTATGCTCTTAATCACCCTGCAGCCTCAATATGGTGTTCAGCTACTCTTAATTAACAAGGATTATGAAAAAAAAACCAACCCGTTGTCTTCTTCGTCGACGTTCCCTTTAAAAAATCACAATAAAATAGCAAAATTTGCCAATGTTCGTTTATGTTAGACCTGTCCGAGAAAGAAACTGCTTCATACATGTATGTCTTGAATAAATATTCATGTATTTGGACTGGTTTGATCCAAGTTCATATCCAATAATAAAAACGGAAAAAACGTGTTATGCCAAAAGGCAATTCTATCCTATTTGAAATCCCAAAATTATGTAAACTATCCAGTCAATATGAACACAACAGCAACTAGTTGATCAACATTAGAATCTAAATCTTATCCTTAAAAGATCGTTTTTAGTAAAAAGGGGAAAGCTTTGGCGGTTCTTTATTCTCATATCACCTCCCTGAAGCAATCTTTAGGGCTCCCGGATTTTCCATATAGACAATTGGCTCATCCTAGTTTTCCAGAACTTTGGGAGTTAGGGGTATACTCTTTGATGGCTTTTTAAAGGTGGGTTTCGCGCCTTGTTAAAGGTGGTTTAGCTCGAAACGAATTTTGGATTCCCCCCCCCCTCTTCCTGTTAGATAATTATGTTAACCAACTGATTTGGATGTATCATCTGGGTAGATTTTGATTCCTTTATTTGGCTGATTTAGGTTGTGTCAATTTTGAATTTGAATTAAGCTCCGGTGCTATATTTATTTTTCCTATGTTTTGTTCAATTAATATCCTTGATATTGGCAGTATTTCCGTTCAGTATCTTGTTCCTTGTCTATTTTGTTTCTTTGTTGATTTAGTTCGTTCGTTACCTTGTCATCGGCGAACTTTTGATTACTTTTCAGGTTTCTGTTCAGGTTTCTGTTCCTGCTATTTTCAATGGAAGAGCAGGAATTATCTATGGCATTAGTAATCTAAGGTTTAGATGTGTTAAAAAGTTATATTCTGCATATTGTATTGACTTTGTGTTCTCCGTAACAGAAGGTTTGAAGCAATTTTACTTTGTCCAAGAAGATAGGATGCCGTCTGCTTATTTTTTGAGGCTGACAAGTGCTGTTCGAAATGGAATCCAGAGAACAGAATGCGTACCACAAGATTCACTTGAAGTTCTCATTGGAAAAGGGAAGCTAGGGTTTAGAAATTATAGGTCTTTTCGTTCTTCAAGGTTTTTGGGACTTGTTGATTTGCAAGGACTTCTGCGAACAGGGACAGTTTTGGCTGCAAGCTTGGATTCTCTATCAGTTAACCGACGAAGGAACATATCTGTTGTTGGAGTTTTTGCTCAAGCAATTTTTGTTCCATCTGTTTCAGGCCCTGCCTTTCAGGTTTGTGGTTATCATATTGATTCTTCCCTTGTTATTCCCGGTCCAATACCACTGCCTGTGAGCAAATTTCAGAGTACCCCTATGGCTTCTTCTTGTTCTGGGGTTGTAATTGGTGGATATCTTATTCATACATCGAAGTTAAAGCACCGGCACCTTTCATCATCCACAAGTAATGGTGATATCTTTTATGGAAATAGAAGTTTGAATAGCCGCATAATTCCTAGAACGAGTTTGAAAAACCAGGAGAAATCTAACAATCGTCCAATTTATAGACATTTCATGTACAGTGCTGGAAAAAGATGGTTCAACTTTAATCCGTCTTCAGGTTCAGGTTCAGGTTCAAGGGCTGTCCACAGTTCATTGCCTTCTAGTTTATTATCTGGGACTGTCCCTGATGTTTCCTTTGATGGTTCTGGATGTGAAGAACTGGCTTCCGGTTCTGGATGTGAAGAACTGGCTTCCAGTTCTGGGTCATCAGAAGAGTATGTTCTCTCTGCAGTTCTGAGTTCCTTATACTAAATCATTTCGTATTTTATGCCATTATATATTTTTGCTGTGTTTGACATCATGACAGGAAGATTTCATCCGGCAAAACTCTGAAGCTGCTTTCAGGTTCATGCTATCTTCCTCATCCTGATAAAGAAGATACTGGAGGAGAGGATGCTCATTTCATATGCGTGGATGAACAGGCTATAGGTATAGCAGATGGAGTTGGTGGATGGGCTGATATGGGTGTTGATTCAGGGCAGTATTCTAGGGAGCTCATGTCTAACTCTGTATCTGCTATCAAGGAGGAGCCTAAGGGCTCAATCGACCCTGCTAGAGTCTTAGAGAAAGCTCACTCTAGCACAAAGGCTAAAGGCTCCTCTACAGCATGTGTTATAGCACTCACCAACCAGGTAAGCCATTTCTATTCTCTGCCTGCCTTATCGTGTAAGGCATTGTTATTCCAACATAAGTAACATTTTCATGAAATGGTTATTTTGAATGCAAGCTCTCTCTTCTAAACCAAATAGAGTGCTTTATGCAGTTAGAATACACCTTATAATTAATGAATTACAGTTCACAGCTGTGTATGAATTTATCTGTAAAGGATTCCATCCACATAATTGCAATGCAGGGAAGTTCTCTGTAGGACCATAAGGGGGTAAAAATCTGTCAATGACTTGAAATGATGAAGTGCCGGACCTTAGAATCGAGGCTTTGTTGTTACTCTACATTCCTCTCAAGCAAACTGCACAAGTTACCCCTTTTTGCCTCTATGGACGAAGTTACTTGTTAGATAGTATATATTTATTTTCATTTTCATTTTTTGGATCTCTCCTACAGGGACTTCATGCCATAAATTTGGGAGACAGTGGTTTTATGGTGATTCGAGATGGAAGTACTATATTTAGATCCCCTGTTCAGCAGCATGATTTCAACTTCACATATCAGCTTGAGAGTGGAAGTAATGGTGATTTACCTAGCTCTGGTCAGGTAGTTACAAAAGTTCCTGTTATTATAATCTTGGAAATGGTCTCTTGTTTTGACTTTCAAGTAATAAAGTTTGGTTGTGTGGGCTTGTGAGAAAAATGTCTTGTTATAGGATAATTGCAAGTATAGTGATCGTACAATAAAAGAGATACGCCAAAATTTTGTGGAAAACCCTTGATGAAAAAAACACGAGAAATTTTACCAATGTTGGAAATAAAAAAGAATACAAGAAGATTTGTGGCTTTGCTCGGCTCAAATTAACTTCTAACCATTATCCCTAATATAGATTTATAGGGATAAGTACTTGATTATAAGGAGACTTGCTTAGAAGAATTTACTCAAACTAAGTTTCCTACTTTTAATCAACATCTAATAGTAGAAGTATAGTCTTATTCGGATTCAAACAGAATTCGGGTCACAAAACTCTAATAAAACTCGTAACATGTCTATTATTTGATGGATATTTGCTTTGGTGGACCTGTCATGTTAGATGGTGTTCTGCTGAATGTTTGCTGCGGATAATAGCTTAAGTAAATGGTAGATGCTACCTTAATATTCTCAAAAACTGATATGTCAACCAAATATTTATAAAGCATTAATGTACAAATTTTGATTCCTTTTTTATTTTTTGCACCTTTTATTTTTCCCTCTTGGTGCTTTAAACAAGAATTTCCCACATGTTTGTTGTATGTGAGGCTTTCGTTTATTTGATTGATTATGAAAATCTTCTGCCCAAATCAGATCATTGATGTTGCCGTTGCTCCTGGAGATGTTGTAATTGCTGGCACGGATGGACTGTTCGATAACATGTACAATAATGAAATTACTGCAGTCGTGGTTCATGCTGTGAGGGCTGGTTTTGGTCCTCAAGTGACTGCTCAGAAGATAGCAACATTGGCACGGGATCGAGCACAGGCTAGAGATCGACAAACTCCTTTCTCAACTGCTGCTCAAGATGCTGGGTTCCGTTATTATGGAGGAAAACTGGATGACATAACTGTTGTTGTGTCGTATATTACTAGCTCTGAGGAAGTACGTTTCTTTCTCTCGTACACTGAATCTTAATTCTTTTATCCCGTTTCAGGGTACTCGAAATAAGATGAATAAGACTATTTTTTGTTGCTTTTGAGAGTTACTGGTAAAAGAAATTTCCAAAACACGATTTGAATGTTCCTACCAAATTTCGGAAATTCATTCCACATCTTCATTGATTGAGTTTTGTTATTATAATTATTTACCTAATTAGTCTCACTTCCTGAATATTTATCTAGGCTTCAAGCAAAAGGAGCTGAATTATGGGCAGTCGCCTTCCAGTTTCCCTACATCTAAATGAAAACTAGGAGTGACTCCAGTTGCTCAGGTATCCATAAAAGGTCATTTTTATATTTGTACTGCAGTCTTTTGGTTTCCATATAAAATTGCCTCGTATTGATGCATAAGCATTCAAATTAGACGTTACAAATAATCTTTGATGTTTATATTCGTTTTCGTTGCATCCTTCTTAGTTACATGAAAGGTGCAAATAAATATGTTTTTCTCTTCCCAGTTATGCAAGGGATCAAGACTTGGTGAGGATTAGGACCTGGTTTTGCTTTGATCTGTGGTTAGGCTATCCGGTTGTCTTTTTGTGCTTTTTTTTCACATGGTGGAGTGAAGTGAGAAGATATGGTCTCCATGTTCAACACCTCTCAACATTATTGTAAATAAAAATATACATCAATGTTCTTTTATTAGTATATGAAATCCTGATTAAAAAGGGCTGCTCTGTTTATTTTCTGACGTCATTAACATTACACAACGTTGGATCATTTCTTTCCTTTTTTTTCTTTCACTAAATCACTTTGAATGTCTGATTTGATCTTTCTGAACAATCAAGAGAATGCTGGTGAAGCTCCAAATCAAACGAGCCTGCTAGATTTTACATTATAACCCAAAACTGCCTATACAGGACAGCGTGGGACGACAAAATGTTGGTTAATAACAAAGTAGTTCGAGGTTGTTTTACTGGGTTAGGTCTCGTAAATGCCATTCATGTTCCCTGTTTGCGCTCAAAAATGCTCCGTTGTCCTAACATAGTTATCAGAGAGGGAAGACGAACTAGCTATATAGATTTTAATGCCTACTCGATCACCGTTGATCATTTCCTCCTCGAAGATTCAAGAGAAAACATGATAACAGGCTGTGGATCTGCATTGGGTTTGCCGACCTTGTAACACAAAAAATCATAAATAACTGTCGCCATTACGACCTAACACCGGATAGTTAAATTGAATACTTAGTTAAATTTGGTTTCTATTTTGAAAAACAGATCAGTCTCTTGTTTTTTACCAGAAGTGAAGCCGGATAGTTTCGAATCCGGCTACGTGCCAGTGTATCTGAATGTATACGACCTAACACCGGCGAATGGCTATTTTTACTGGGCAGGCCTTGGTATCTATCATTCTGGTGTGGAAGGTAGCCTTTTTTTTCCCTTTCAACAGTATAATATTTGCCCTTTTTCTTGTTCACTCGGATTGAAATTTTCGTCAGGAAATTAAGGTTTTGCTTCTCATTTTTCATAATAGAGAATGCATTTGAATTGGATATGCAAAATAAGGCGTCGACTCTTATTCCGTTGTATTGCTATCTCATAGTTGAGTATTTTCTGATAACCTATGCACACTGTTTAGTTCATGGTGTGGAATATGCATTTGGAGCTCATGACTACCCAACAAGTGGAGTTTTTGAGGCCGAACCGCGACGGTGTCTGGGTTTCAAGTTCAGGAAATCAATATTCATTGGGACAACATCATTGGACCCTATCCAAATAAGGGAGTTCATGGAGTGCCATTCAGCTAGGTTCAATGGGGATACTTATCATTTGATCGTCAAGAACTGTAACCATTTCTGCAAGGATATTTGTACAAACTGACCGGGAAGCACATTCCTAAATGGGTAAATCGACTGGCAAGAATAGGTAATTCTTTTGACATTTCACTACTTGCAAGATTGTACTGATATCCCCGATGTGTTACGTTTTTGAGAAAAATGAAACAATTCGGATAACATGGATATTCGTAGTGATAGTAAAAAAAATGATTATATCTTTTGTTGGTGTTAGGTTCGATGTGCAACTGCATTCTACCGTAGGCACTCAAGACTTCAGTTGTGAAACATGATCCAAATTATCAACCGTGTGATAGTGAGAAGAGGAAATTGAGGTGCGCCTGGAGTTGCCTTTCTTCAGTTTCAATTGGGCAGAAGTCTTCATTACTTTTACGATCGCCGTTAAGAGGTGTTCTACGGCCATGGGAATTGAAGAAATCAAGAAGTGTTTTACTGAAGGAAAGGTGAGAGTAATTTGCGGAATCGCTCTATAAGCTTAGCGATTGAAGGTTTCTTTTAGTGTAGACATCCATAGTTTGGTTTCTTTTAGTGTAGACATCCATGGTTTGTGTTGCATGTTGTGATGCCTATAACAGTCTTCAATCTTTTTAGTGTAGACGTCTACAGTTTGTGGTGTATGTTGTAATGCCTATAACAGTCATACCGTTCAGATCTGATTAATGGTGGCTGATGCTGTACTGTCCAAAAGAGCCCGTCTTAATGCGAGTTTTCTTTAATTTGGTGTTGACGTAGATCATGGGCTTTCCTTCTCCCGGCATTTTGAGGATGACAATTTGCGTTGCGTTATTATCCAAGTCTCTACGGTTTTTCTTTCTTCTCATTCGCAATGCGTGTACTGAAAATTTTCAGGATAGAAACCAAAAAATATATATGAAACTATAATCTAACTCAAAACATACAATTTAAAAATTATAATCTACACTGATACTGATATACCTTGGTAACCTTATTTACAACATAAAAAGGAGTTGTCATGATTTTTGTTCTTTAATCTCTCTCCATGTTCTCTTCAACAGTACTACAAATAATCTTTTGTTAACTGATCAGATTTTCACATTGAATAAGGGAAACATACGAACCATTGATTTCATTGCCATAAGTATGCATTGAGGCGACTACTCTTATCATGTTTAGGCACAAAACAGTGCTGAACTTTAACCAAGTTCAGTACGGTTTTAATAACAAACAGTGTACACATTTCTACATTATGTATTACCGGAACATCATCCAACAAGTGCAGCAAACTACAAAACAAGGGTGCTCATTGTTCATAACATATTGCCGTACGAGCATCAGATATTGATATTATCGTAAAATAATCAAGAGCGGATATAAAAACAGGATGGCAGGGAATAAACGGATTCAGAGCACTTCGTCCAAATAGCTGAGAGTTAACTTCCAGTTCAAACAAGTTACTAAACGATTAAGATCCTTGACACACCAAACCAGAAAAATTCTAAGAGGCTCCAGGACTCTGTACTTAAGAACTTGCACTGTTGCACTCAGATATTGATAAAGGAACAGAAGGGCATAAAAGTAAGCTAGTGTTCTTAACTTGAACTAGAAGATCAGGGAAGGGAAAGCCCAGCAGGGGAAATGAAGTTTCCATCTCCATTGTGAGAACTTGCGAGTCTAATGTTGCCTATAGATTATGAGAGAAGCTGAAATGTGAAGTTAAGTCATTCCAAACAGATACTCTTATTCCCTTAACATTCAAATTCATTACCAAACATCAAGTTTCAGTCAACACTTGTATTAATTCAAAAATAAATTTAGCACATATTCATATGCAATAACTGCCCGTGTAAACATTTATTAAACAATAGAAACGTAAATCAAGAGAACCCCAAATTCTCCTAAGGATTCAGTAACAATGATTGGTGAGCCGAGTTTGGTGTGTGATCATACCTAGCATGAAACCCAATTTTTATGGGTACTAATAAGAGCGGATAAAAGCCCGGCGCAAGACAGCAAGAGAGGATCCGTAAAGCTTCCTTTACCGTCTCGAATATCAGCCAATGTCATTAACCCGTCGGCCAAATCTTGAACAACTGAAAGTTGCTTCATCAGCTTCTTTGCCCTCAATTTCTTCCTCCTCTCTTCTTCTTCCTTACACCCAACTCCTCCCAAAATCGCTATCTCGATGCTCGAATTCAAGCATGCCTCGTCCTCATTCATCTTCTTTAATTCCCTAAGCTTAATGGTAATACTCCCGATGTACCCAATAAACTCGGCCCAAGCACTGATCTTTTGTAAATTGCGGATCGATTAATCCCGATTTTGCCAACCAAACGAACTGTTCAATGAAATAGTATAAACCCTCGCCACCGTAGGCGATAATCGAGAGCAAAATCTCTTCCTTTGAATCCAAATGGGAGTTCCTCAAAGCGTTGACGTCTTGAACGAATTTCCCGAGCCGAAATGCTTTTCGACTCAACCCAACGCTTGACTCGAAACTCTTGAGCTGGCGAGAAAGTGGCACCGCTTCCGGGAGGAGCGAGGAGGCTAGTATGATCTTGGTAGCATAACGAGAGATTTTGAGGAGCTTGTCGACGCCGTCTCGCTTCGCGAGGTAAGTTTCGATATGGTTCAGGAAGTCCTTTTCCTTGGGCTTCGATTGGGATTGAGATGGGCAGCGGTGGAAGCTTTCAAATCCATGGCGGTTCAGAGAGAGAAGGCAATCAGAGGGAGGAGAATGTGGAAGGCGACAGCCAGTCAAAGGGAGAGAAGAATTCTGATTTTGTGTTGTAAAACGACGACGTACGAGTGCTTTCGGAGCTGTCAACTTGAGCAAGCCAAAGCGGGCAATGACAGTCAATATCGGTACGTGTGCCATGGTTTGAGCTCGAAAACAATTCCAGAGTCCATATTTTTGAATGGGTCGGAGTCGTGGGTAAATTTTTATGGGCTTAATTAAAGGAGCTGGTGAATGGTGAAATAGCCGTTGGTTAGCCACCAAAGTGTTGTCTTTTTAATTTTGGTTGCTGCTGGGGGGATCTTTATCTCAACGGTAAGGAAAAAGAAAAGGCAAGGAAAGAAGGTTCCTTGCTTCCCCAATTGCAAAGCTATTAACTTTGACAACTTCACCAACCGTTTTACATTACCAACTGAAGACGACCTTTAGCCTAAGGCCCCTTGTTAGGAAAGATACCAACTTTCCATCCCTTCCATATATTTCACCCACTTAACAAAACTTGGGCTTTTTTATGATCATCTTATCCTCAATCGTAATCAATTGCGATTATTACAACACACTTCCATGATTAATCATTTCGAAAGAAACCCTATTTACCTTTGTTCAAATAACGTCCTAACACCTGTTTTAATATCCTTTTCAAAAAAATGTAATCAAATTATGTGACCAATCTTTTACAATTGAAGGTAACCCTGCCTTTAGCTCAAGAAGACGACGACGAAGAAGGTAAACCTGTTTAATCCTTTATGAAATATTACTACTTTAAAAATGTTTACATATCGGTACTTGAACTAGGTTTTAATACTCAATTTGATATTTAATTTTTTTTTACCAATTAAGCATCTCTGAATTTAGCTTTTTTAGTCCAAATTGATGCTTCGGTCTTTAAACTAATTTAAACCAAGATGTCGAGTTTATGTACTAAATTGAATAAAAAAACAAGTTCAAATACCAACTTGGACAGGAAAATAGGTATCAAACTGAAAATTGAAGTCAATTTTAGGTACTAAATTGTATATTTACCCAAGAAAGTTTATAAATGCTTTGGCATTTTGGCTACCAACTTAAGCGACGCAAAGCAGGGCAAAATTCGTACTTAGAAACAACGAAATTAAATACCTTTCAACACCAAAACTGGATTTGAAACCGACACGCGGCCGTAACACCGGTATCTTACCCGTTATGCCCTTGCAGAAATCCGTTTTTAAAAACCTGGACGATTCCTCTGTTTCGTCGTTTAGTATTTTGCCTCTGTTCCTCTCTTCTCCGACAACTCCACCACTCTCAAACTCTATCCACGACCCCATGGCTGTTGTACCCTCCCGAAGCCGTTATTCCTTCCCCTGTGACTTCAAAAAGTAAGAAGAAAAGCCAGTTACTTTGAGTTCACTGCTTTTGAAGCTCAAATCAGGCCATAAAACAGCTCACATTTGAAGGTTTCACTCACTTTTCGAAGCAATGTCGGTAGCTACGAAGCCTAAGTTGTCGACGAAACCAGTAATGGAACCGCGAGCGATTTTCGGTCCGGCCGGGAACAGAGTTAGGGTTTCGGATGAGTCAAAGAGAAGAACCGAAGCTCTAAGAAAGCCCCAAAGACCCAAAGTCCCCATTTCCCACAGCCCACTGTCCGTTGTACAAAGCAATGTCTCCGTTGACAGCTCCAATTCCTCCGACTCTTCTTCAAGCAATTCCTCCTTCAAAACGGCAAGCTCTAGGAAAACCGTTAAGCGAAACGGAGTGAAGCAAGCCAAACCCAAGGTTGCTTCAACAGCTGACGAGTCTGTCACAGAAATTTATCCGGCAATATCGGGACCGTTAAAACGATGTGATTGGATCACTCCGTTTTCCGGTAAGTTAGTTAAAGAGAAAATCCTATAAATTAGTGAAAAAAATTTCCGTCCGAGGTTAAAAAATTCGATTTTACTGAGGCGGTTGATTTATTTTCTTTAATATAGTAGCGGGTTTGATAAACAAAGGAACTTAGCGGTGCCTAATAAATCGTGATAGCGTTGAGGCTTTAACCATTTAATGTTTATTCAAGTTTTCTGTGGTGGAGAGGTTGAAAGCTTTTATTACATGACATAGTGCTTTGAAAATGACACAAGTTGAAGTGAATGTCTGGAAATTCAGATTTCTATGATTTCCCTTTTTCTTGTCTTTAATTTTGTTGTCTACGTTGCTGTCAGGATTATGGTAGTTAGGTAGGATGTTACTCATTAAATCGTAGGCAATTAACCTTATTGTTCCATGCTGGCGATACCAACAAGCTTGTGAAATATAGGAATGTTAACTACCTCTGCATTTTCTCTTCGGAAAATTTTCCTCACATTGGGTTTTCTGGTATTGAATTAGACCATTGTTGAAAGGGTTTTCGCCTTTTTACCTGTGAAAGCTCGAGTTTATATAGGAAGTATGGATGCCGGCCTTTTTCTATTAACCTCTCGTGGTATATAATATAACAGCTTATGCTTTCGTTAACCTTTCTAATGTTGTTGAAGCTTTAAACAATTAAAACTAGGTGCATATGCTTGTTGTATCAATCTCACTTCAGTTCTTCACTGGTCTGTTCTGATCTTGTCTTGTAATAAAATTGAATTTTACAAGTCCATCATTTGTGCAGACCCACTGTATACTTCTTTTCATGACGAAGAGTGGGGTGTTCCGGTTCATGATGACCGGAAGCTGTTTGAGCTACTAGTCTTTTCACAAGCCTTAGCTGAACTCAGCTGGCCAACAATTCTCAACAAGAGAGACATATTCAGGTATCTTTGTTGTTAGTCTTTTAAAGAACCCAACAAGGACATGAATGTGATACTTTCTTGATTCTCTTTTTTCCCTTCTCTTTGGTTTTGTTTTTCTCTATTACCTCCTTTATTTTGTAAGATGTCAACCTAAAAGGAGATGAGAAATTGTTGGATTCTTTCTGCAGGAAGCTTTTTGACGATTTTGATCCATCATCAATTGCACAGTTTACTGAGAAGAAGATGCTATCATTGAAAGTTGATGGTTGCCTGTTGCTTTCTGAACCAAAGCTCCGTGCTATAGTGGTGAATGCTAAAGTTATTCTTAAGGTAAGTATCTGGTTATACCACATAGCATCAAGTCTTTCATCCTTTCTTGTCAGTGCCTGCGGTTGGAAAGTTGTTTTCAAAATAAAAAGTATGATCCTCTTAAATGGTAGTTTCATGTCTGATATAATAGTAAGCACTGACATTTAAGAAACTGATACTTGTTGCTTCTGCAAACTATCTTCGCACACACATAGAAGTGAAACAAACTAGAAAGGGCATCTGGTTGGCCTATAGCAACTGAATCAAGTTTGAAGGAAACACAGATATCTTTGTATGCTAAAGCCCTATGGTTTATTTAAATATTACAGGTTCAGCAGGAATTGGGTTCTTTCGGTAGCTATTGCTGGGGATTTGTAAACCACAAACCATTAAGAAATGGGTTCCGTCATGCACGCCAAGTACCAGTTAAGACCCCAAAAGCAGAACTCATGAGCAAGGATATGATGCGGAGAGGCTTTCGCTGTGTGGGACCGACCGTTGTTTATTCATTCATGCAAGTAGTTGGGATTGTTAATGATCATCTTGTAACTTGCTTCAGATACCAAGAATGCAATGCAAATGTCAAAAAGGAGATCAAACCAAGAACCGAGGAAACAGTGGCTAACTAAAGATGTGGAGAACATATGCTTATCTCATTAGTGAATGCTTAAGCCACACATACCTTTTCCTCGACTAATCACACTGATCTTAGTAGTAAGAAGATTATAGTTGGAGACTGACGATGACCAGATGTTCCGCAATATTCTGTTAGTTTTCCAGCACTGTATTGTATTGTATCATATCATCTTTCTTTCTTCATCTCCTGTGTGTTCCTTGAATTGTTTTTTGTAGAGCTTTTGGTAATATTACCTTTTTAGTGGCTTAAACCTGCTGTTCTCATGATTTGGTTGTAATAAAATTCGATCCATGTCTGTGTGTATCATTGTGTTGACAGTTTCCCTTGTTTTGTGGTTCGTGCATGGCTGAGTGGGAGTTATTTGCACTTTCCACATTCCCATTTCCATGTACGTGGGATGTAGTAGGGTAGTTTTGGGTGGTTTTTGATGGGATGTAGTAGGGTAGTTTTGGGTGGTTTTTGATGGGGAACCACAACTATAAATACTCATCTAGTCAGGCCCGGTTTTTAGATTTTGGTGGCCCTTGGGCGAACCAAAAAAATTAAGCCCCTAATCAGAAATTTAAGTTACAATTTATATTTGTGTCTTCGGTCACGTTTTGTTTATCACTATTGCAGATATAACTCACTGCAAGTATTGTGATTGTGAATTTTTAATAACATACTAGCGTGAACATAACAATTGTGGATATCACGGTTCAGACGATGTTGTTATCATTGTATGACGATCATCATTGTGGTTGCATACCGTTATTTAAGTAGTTGTTCTTAATAACAAGTGTTGAAAAAGTAAATTTTAAGGGCAACTCCATAATAACAAATTTTAAAAAAATAGATCGATAATAACAAAGATGAGAAACAAATTTAAGAGTAATAACAAATACAAAAAATAATTGGGCCACTAATAAAAAGTACTGAAAAAATTAGACTCATAATAACAAATAAATATTAGAAAAAATTTAAATTTTGAGTGTGTCTCTAATAAAAAAATGTTGAAAACATTTGGCCCTAATAATAATTATTGAAAATAATTGGGACTTTAATAACAAATTTTAGGAAAAATATTGACAAAAAATTAGACTTATACAAATATTAGAAAAAATAAATTATAAGAGCTGACCCCTAATAATACATATTAGAAAAAAATTGAGCCCATAACGATAAATATTAAAGAAAATTAAACCCTTAATAATAAGTATTAAAAATAATTGGACTATATAATTGATATAAAACTATTTTTTAAGTATAAAATATAATAAAAATTTTGGGCCCTGGACATGCGCCTCTCCTATCCAGTCCCAGATATGGCCCTACATCTAGCCTAGGCCCCTAAACATCAATTCATTCATTTCAAAACATTTTATTTGAGAGCATTTGGAAATTTACTCCATTTAACTGAGGTTTTGAGTGCTTAGAAGATCTTTGGCGGTTCTAGCTTTTGTGTAGTCAAGTTCGAAGTGTTCGAAGTGTTCGACGGTGATTCGTGGTGGTTCATGGTGGTCAACAGTGGCCTGACGAATTTGACGATAGTGCATTCAATTCCCAGATTTGGACATACGGTATATGCAATGACTGGATGTATTTATAACTTTATCTCTTTTCCACTGCTTTTATACTCAATGAGTGAAAGCATGTCTAACATGTTTGTTTTGAGTTATTCTCTTGCCATCTGTCCGCATCATTTGAAGAATTGAATTGTAGGATATCTGGTTATGTAAATACTGATAATTAGATCAATGATACGATGATGACAGAAAGCTACATGGCTGATGGGCCAAGCTTCGATTGGAAACAAAGTGGAAGGTCCGAAGCTCAATCAAGTGAAGAGATGTACATAAGACCACACCAGACAACTCCAATAAGTTAGTGGAGACTGGTCTTGCAATACCTAAAACATGTTCTCTCATTATTGCTTGGCGTCTATCGTTGTAGTGAACGTGGGATTTGTCGTGGGGACATCCCCACTGTAGAGGCAGCCAACTCTAGCATAAAGAACAGTCTTGGCTGTGGGTGGGAGGTCATCAGCTGAAAAATAGTAAATATAGTAGTAGTACTATTCCATTTGTTTCTTGGTTAGGTGATCGCCACGTAAAGAGAATGAAATCACAGAACTGGATATCAAAAATTGCTTACCAACAAGATCAAATGATTCAATACAACCATTAGGCTTTAACAGTACAAAGCCACTAAAACAATATCATTCACCGCGGTTTTACCCAAGACAACAAAGGCCTAAAAGGAAGACTAAGCTAGCAACTCTGCCACAGTATCCACAACTAATGCTTGTAAAAACAATCCGACTCCCTGAGGATTCAACCAGGGAATACGAGTATCAACAGACTCAAATAGACCCGGAAACGAAACATTACAGACGACCACGCAACTTTTCTTCCACCTTTGTTCTATAATTTCCAGATTTCACTGAGTGGATGAAAAAACAGTACTGAAAATGCTCTCTCCGTTATCTGACTGAGAACTGAGAATGAGGAAGGCAAAACGGCTTTTCCCACTGTCGTAACACACTTTAATGGCATCAGTTGACTGTCAGCCATTTTAACACCGAGCCTTCCCGCTTCCAAGTGTGAGCTCCAGATCATCCAATCCTACTTCATGAATCCTCTCTCCTTCCCACGGATTTACCTGTCCACTCTCAAACTGAAACTCTGAAACTCGCCCTTTCTCCCCGATCAAATTGTTGGGCAAACTTTGTGGAGCCAAAGGTTTGACGAGATTAAATGTTGGCGATGTAGGCACTTGTGACGTAGAAGGTGCAAACTTTTGAAAGCTTATCCACTGACCAGATTCAACTGTGGACGTATCAGATTCATCACATTCGGGTATAGTGGCTGGGGCATGGAACTGACGATGGGTTGGACTGGCTGGAGCAGATACTGCATAAAAAGGGTAGCTAAAAGAAGCCATGGACTGTTTTGCAATGGCCTCCCAGTAGGGAATTGGCTTAGGAGATCTTGAGGTTGGCGATGATAGTGGCGGTGTCACAGGGGCGCTGTTTGAGATTCTGAGAGGAGGGAGAGAACAAGGAATGGCGCTTCGAAGGAATGGAAGGAGACTGGATGGGTTATTTGCATCAGTTCTAGTGGGACTAGGGAAGGAAGAGGAGGAAGGACTGACTTGACAGGAAGGAATTGGACTTGGAAATGCAGAAGATAATGGACTTGGATTCTGGGAAGAATATGGGGTAATTTTAGCTGAACTGCCTGGTATATCAATTGGAGGTGGCTTACATCCCTGAACAACAAATCCAATTAAAACCCCCCAAAAAAATTATTAGCATAGAGTGATCCATGATCAAGGCTCAAGAACATTATACAGCAAAAAATGGCAATAAACAGCTAGACAAGAAAAGTTGTTCAAACTTAACAGTCCAGTTAATGAAGTTTCAGTTCCAGCACAGATCAATAGATTTTTGTCCAATTAGCAACTGTTCTTTCCATAAACGGCGATCTTTTATTTTCCTCCAATATTCCAAGCAAGCAAACATAAGCAACATCAAAATGAAATAAAGCAGATCACCTTTTTTTTAAATATATTTAAACCAGAAACCACAGCCAAAGTAAAATCAAGATGGGAATAAGATCCAACTAAATTAGAACAAAGAAAAGAGAGCAGAGAACGAAAAACAAAAAGTTCCATCTTGTTTGAACAGATCTACCATTATGTAAAAAATGAAAAGAAGTACGAGATGGGTAAATTAGATACCTTTCGATAAGTGGTGCCGTCTTCTTCAACGACCCAACCAGCCTCGGCACAAAGTGCTTTGAGGACCTCGTTGTTATCACAGTGCTTGGGCAAAATGAAATTTCCTTGAGCTCTAAGCCCAGTATATATCTTGGCAGCAATAGCTCGTCTCCTCCTCTCCCTCCTCCTGTTGTTCTCTCTCTCCCTCCAAGATGGCTTCCTCCTCGGCAACGGCGCCGGGGTCGACGTCGCTCCATGTGACGTCATTTCTTGATTGTACCAAGTACCAACAGCGGTGAAGGTGAAATAGGGGGTGGGATGGAAAGAACCAAGGATAGGTTCACGAGGATTACGCTTTTTCTTCGCTGGAAAAATAAATTAAAAATAAATAGAGAAGGAACGATGAAAAAGAAAAGCAAGGAAACACACTCCCTGCCCTCCGCTGATGCTTTTTTTCCTTTTTGGTGTTGGGGTGGGGGAGGGAATTATACAGTGCAGGCGAGTACTGGATTTAATCAAAGGAATATATAACAGCTAGGAATTAAGATTGTCGGATCAGGATGGTGATGATGAAACGTGGGGAAGCGGGACAGAAAAGGGTGGCGCGTGAAAGTGGAAAGCAAGTGATCACCAAATAATAGTAATGGTACGTATAAAGTAGTAAATAAGGGAAGGGTGGGACCAAGTCGTTGGAAGGAAGAGGACCCACCGGATTCGAGAGTATCAGACAGTTCATCTGATAAGTTTCTAACATCAAGTATTTAGTCAGATTTAAAAATAATAATAATATCGTCTACTTTCAATAAATAAATACTTTTTAAAAATTATATCTATGAAATTTCAATTATATTGATAATTCATCATCATTTCTTTGAAAACTATTAAAGAAAAAAAATAATCATTAAATAATGGAAATATATTTATATAAGAAAACGATTACATAATTTCATCAAATAAATAAAAAGGAAGTGTTCAAACTAGGCGAAATCAACGAAATAATACAGTCAAAGTTTTTATTTCACGAGATAATGCAGTGTTCAGATTAATTGTTCGAATGAGGTAAATTCTACAGTGATGGTCGTAGGTCGCCATGCATTCTGGGAGGCCTACGACGTGGCAGCATCCAGACGAACCAGCATAGGTCGCCATGCACGCCCGGCGTCCTATAAGGTCGCCATGCACGCCCGGCGTCCAACGTTTCTCGTGATGCTTTGCCCGGCGATGCTCTGCTTTGGTGCTATGCATGGACCATGCACGGGGCATGGGATAGGTCGCCAAGAGTTGTGTTCACGTGGTCTGCTCTCGGCAAACCTCTGCTCGCATGCAGCGTGAATTCAGCTGCATTATTGCAACACTTATTGCAGTCCTTCAGCTCACGTGAATGGCCCATGCAAAGGTGAATAACTGAAGCAAACAGGGTGGTTGTATTATATATTGGATGGGGGTTAATGAGTGAAACATAAAAGAAAGAAAGGGAGAAGAGAGCAAGGGAAAAGAGGAAGAATAAAAAGGGAGAGCACAACATCGAGGTAAGCTTTTTAATTATTTAAATTAGTTTTTTATTTTAAATTATTAGATTGTTAGTTTATGGTTTAAGGGTTTACAACATTTTAGTTAATTAGTTAGTTAGTTGAAGGTAAAACAAAATTGTAATTAATTAGTTTGCTTGATGGTTATATTTTGGTTGTTGAATTTATATTATATAAAAAAATTAGTTAATTAATTTAAGTTATATAAAAGAATAATTATTTAAATTAGTTTATTGTTATAAATTATTAGTTAATTAGTTTATTATTATAAATTAGGGTAAAACAAAAAATTATTTAATTAGTATGTTTGATAGTTACATATTAATAAAAATAATCAGTTAGCTTGTTAGTCGTTAGTTATATATAAAAAATATGTAATTAGTTTGTGTTAGTTAAATAGTTAAGTTATATTTATTTGTTGAATTTATATTATATAAAAAATTAGTTAATTAGTTTTTTAGTAATAAATTATAATTAAAAATTATTTATTAGTTTAAGTTATATTAAAAAATAGTTTATTAGTTAACGTTATATTAAAGAATAGTTAAAGTTATATTAAAGAATAGTTTATTAGTTGTTTAAGGGAAAATTTACGTTTAACTTATATTTTAAAAAGTTTAGTTTGTTAGTTTGTTAGTTTATTAGTTTAATATATTATAAGTTATTATATTAAATTTTTTTGTTGTGTTGTGAAATAATTAGTTAGTTAGATTATATTAGTTATATTAAATGATTTTTTAAATACTGATGTTTATTTTTTTTACAGATTCATTCCAATGGCTGACCAAATTCCACTGCTGCGACTTGACAATGAACATATTTCAAGTCATTTGGGAATAATGGTGAATAAAATATTTGTTTAATGAATTATAATTAATAAATATTTGAATATTATTTTATGATGATTGTGATGATTTTTTGCATTATTTAATTGTAGGAGGACGAGCAGCGAGTCCTTCGTCTTCGGCTACATAAAGTGCCCAAGTCACACAGATTGATAGAAGAAAACTTGCAGGAGGCTGGATTTTGGTATGTAACATTTGTGTGAGATTACAAGTTGGTCCCAGGTTTGATCAGTGCCTTGATTGAGCGTTGGAGACAAAAAACGTACACGTTTCATTTGCCGTGTGGCGAATGTACGATAACTCTGGAGGATGTGGCATTGGAACTCGGGGTCCAAACAAACGGGATGCCAGTGGTAATATCACATGAGTTTAATAATGTGGCATAACTTTGTAGCTTGTTTCTTGGGAAAACGCCCGTACCACCAGAGTGTAAAGGGTGGCGTGTGAGGTTGTCATGGTTGAAGAATGAATTTCAGCTTCAATCAAATAGTACGGAGCACGAAATTATATATGCAACACGAGCATATATATTACAGTTGATTGGGGGTATTTTAATGCCGGATAAATCCGGTAGTTATGTTCACACTCAGTATCTTCTTTTTTTAAGAAATTTTGAGAATAGTAGGCAATATAGCTGGGGATCGGCGATATTGGCGTTCTTGTATCGTGAGATGTGCAAGGCGTCATTAGTCGTGAATGATAATAATACAACAGAAATCGGTGGATGTTTGTTGCTGCTACAGTCATGGGCTTGGCATAGACTTCCGTTTCTGACACCGATTAGTTGGACTACGGTTGACTTTCCTCTTGCCGGAATGTAATATGATTTTCTATTTTAATATAAAATATTAATTATAAAATAAAAATGACCATATTTTTGTTTTGATTGATATACAGATGGAGGCATAAAATTGAAGGCACGGGGTTGGTGCACAACAACATTAAAGAGTTCAGGCTGAAGATCGACATTAAGGCAAAAAGAAGGTATGCATAATCTGTTATTTTTAATTATTATTTAAATTAACTATATTATTTGATTTAAATAAATTTTATTGTTTTTTGTAATTTTACAGTTTAATTGGAGACCATACATGAATGAAGAAATACTTGCGTTGATACCGCACGATATTTTAGATGGGTTTCAATATTGGTGTGCTGTTATACCATTGATCAATTTTTATTTTGTTGAGATCCAATTTGGGGATAGAGTGTTGAGGCAATTCCACTTCCACCAACCTATTCCGCGGAGTCCATGGGATCATGACCTCCTCCAAATCTTAGATGGTCGTCGTCAGGTGAATTGGGTTGAGTCGCATGACCAGCTGCACAGATTTGATGGTCGTCGTAAAGAAAATGTTAATTGGGTTGAGAAGCATGCAACATACATTAATGCTTGGAACAATAGGACTTCATTCATGCCAACTCTTGACGACATTCAAGACGACGACTTTAATTTTGAGACTTCGGCTTACCTTGCTTATTTTTTGGATAATAGAAAGCCATTTTTGACAACAATTGTAGAGATGCGACAATTTTTGAGGTTTAAAAAAAGATTTGGTAAAGCTGAATACTCTCTACCAAGTGAGAGTGGGAGTTCATCTCAACAACCAGAAGCAGAAATGACTGATGTGGATAATAGCGCACCACAACCGTTCGGCGATGCATACATACCAGAGTTTGTGCAACCTGATGCATCCATCTACTCTCCCATGTTTTCGTCGACGTATGACTTTGAACACATGTCAGTTCAAATGCCCCCAATGAATGAGGAGGATGAGTACCATACTCCTGAGCAACCGCAACGGCCACAACGCATCAGACGTTCGCCTCAACATTATCATTCAACAACACCTCGACATCGGCAACAATTGTAAACTAGTTTGTTATTTGTTACAAATTTAATATTGAAATTAGACTAGCTTTTTCAAACCTTAACAAATCATTACTAAATCATTAAATATTAATAATAATTTCATTATTACTAATCATTACTAAATCATTACTATCAAATCATTAAATATTAATAATAATTTCATTATTATTAATCATTACTAAATCATTATTATAATTTCATTACTAGTTATGTAACAAAAATATGGTTAATTGAACAAAACATTGTTCATTGTTCAAGTCGTAAATCATTACTATCAAATCATTACTAAATCATTAATATCAAATCATTAAATATTAATAATAAATTATTATTACTAATAATTACTAATCATTACTATCAAATCATTAAATATTAATAATAATTTCATTATTACTAATCATTACTAAATCATTAATATCAAATCATTAAATATTAATAATAATTTCATTATTACTAATCATTACTAAATCATTACTATCAAATCATTAAATATTAATAATAAATTATTATTACTAATCATTACTATCAAATCATTAAAAATTAATAATAATTTCATTATTACTAATTATTACTAAATCATTAATATTAAATCATTAAATATTAATAATAATTTTATTATTACTAATCATTACTAAATCATTACTATCAAATCATTATTATTAAATCATTATTATAATAATTATTATAATGATTATTATTAAATCATTATTATAATGATTATTATAAAATCATTACTAAATCATCAAATCATTAAATATTTAAATCATTATTAAATCATTATTATTATGATTATTACTAAATCATTATTATAATGATTATTATCAAATCATTATTATAATGATTATTATCATATCATTACTAAATCATTAAATATTAAATTCATTATTAAATTCATTATTAAATCATTATAATGATTATTATCAAAACATTTTTATGGTTAATTGAACCACACATCCATTCAAATCTATTCAAGTCCTCGAAATATAAATGTCATATCAATTAGGTCATTCTATTTAAAAACTCCGGTCGAATATTTTATCGACAAAAATTACATAATTTCAACTTAAATGTGAAGA